TTGTAGGAAACACATAATAATAAACATACATCCATTTATGAAATAGGATAGGAACATTACAAACTTTGCACAGTTATGGATAGATTAGTAGGAAAATATCAATGGCTGCTGTAATACGTGGTGGTATCTTCAGAGTGGTTTCTCAGGAAGACAGAGATATGCAAGAGGGACCTATTAAGGAGTTACAGCCTAAGGGTTGTCAAAAATAGCATATTACCTCCTCACCAGTGACTCCTTTCACTGAGGTATGATGGCTGGAAGGAAGGCCAGGATTGAAAAGAAGGACTGAGAGACTTGCACCTGTGTCTAGCAACAGGCTGTTTTCTTGTTCCTCCATAGTCATGATTACCCAGGGCTCCTCGATGGAGATGACGGTCTGGCCAGAGGGAGAAGGCAGACCATGCCCCAAGCCCTCTCATTCCTGTTGGACTAACTGGTAGCCTGGAACAATTCACTTTCTAATCTCTAAATACTTTATCATTCATCCCATATGCAAAATATATCCACCCCATAGCATCATCAACTCCAAGTTTCAAATCTCATCCAAATCATGAAAACTAATTATGGATGAGACTTAGTGTAGAATTCATCCTGGGGAAAAATTTCTCTCCATCTGTGAACCTGTGAAACCAGACATCAACTTAACTGCTCCCAAAACACAATGATGTAACAGGCAGAGGACTGACATTTCCATTCTGAAAGGGAAAAATTGGAATGAAAACCAGGGGCTTACAGGTCCCAAGCGAATCCAGAATCTGTAAGGCAAATTCCACTAGATTTTAAGGCTGGAAAATAATCCTTACTGGCTCAAGGTCTTACACTGCTATGGCCTTGCCCTCTTGATTCTGGGTGGTGGCTTTGGAGAAGAACCAAGAACTCAGCCTTATGGTCTGTGCCTTTTGGGCCTGGGGTCACAGCAGAAGACCCAATGGTAACTCAGTCGTGCTAATGCATCTTCCCTTTTCTTGATGGGTAATACATGTTCACAGCAGAACTCTTTCTGTAGAATCTTGGGAGTCTGATAGCCTTATTTTATTTCATTCTGTCACCATCTTATTTAGTCAAGGTGGCAGTATTTTTCCTGACATGGTTGATGGATCCACAGTTTAAAAATCTAGTCTCTTTAGCAAACAGTTGCCCAGTTATTTTAAAAATACAGATGGTTGAGAATTTCACAGATTTTTATGATCTCTTTTGCTTAACAATTCCTGCTTCCATTTATCTCTTTACTGCTTGCTTTATCAATAAGAAATATTCAGGCTACGCCTTCAGTACTTACCTTGGAAATCTCAGGTAAATATTAGAGTTCATTGTTTAAAGTTCTACTTTCTACACAACAGAGCACAGTTTATAACTGGGATCACCTTTTCTCCAGTTTCCAATAAAATGTTCCTCATTTCTATATGAGGCTACACCAGAAGCACATTTAACATTCACATTTCTGTCAACTTTCTGGTCTGTTAGGGTACGTATATCTGTAAGATGGTTGAAACTTCTGTGCAGCTCTTTCCTTTTCTGTCTGTGGTTACATTCTGCAATATTAAGTTTGAGGACTTTAACATATCTTTTGGGTGATGGGACATAATTCAACCTGTAAGTCTCTCATCATAGCATGATAGATTCTTGGGATCACAGTGAATTATACCAGTATCCAAAATGCTCACAAGGGGGCTGGGGACTTAGCTCAGAGGCAAAGCGCCTGCCTAGCAAGAACTACACAGTGAGTTCGGTTCCTGAAAAAAAAAAAAAAAAAAAAAAAAAAAAAAAAAATGCTCACAAGATGTAAAATCTCCTTCCCACCAACTTTTAAATTAGAATAGAACCATGAGTCTGCACTAGGTATGAAGAGATGATGGCCTGACCCCTAGTATTACGTTCGAAAGCTAAGACATCCTGTTAAAAGTTGAAAAGAGCTCTGTAATTCCCTGTTGATTCTCTTTGGGGATCAGAGAGAATGGCACTTTGGTTAAGGATCCATAGGATCCATTACCTTTTAGGCTACAGTAGAGTAGCCTATAGGGCCCCGTGGCCAACTAATTCGCCATGAATTTCTTAGTAAGAGCTGTTGTTGAGTAACTAGACCCAGAGATCTTTTGTAAAAGAAGTGCAGACAAAGGGTGCATAATTACCACTTTTACATTACTATTTATGCTGGTCAGTGTTCCATCTATGTAGTAGCTGGTTCTCCCAGCCTAGATGATTTGTTGGTAAAAACTGAGATTGCGGTAAAGAGTAATCAGCATGGTCCTATGCAGGTAGGGAGGGTTACTTGAGCTCAGTAACTAGCAAGAATGGCAGGGACAAACATAGAAATCTTAGTCTCAATAATTTTATCCTGTACTCTTTCTACTCCTCATTGCATACACAAGAGACCACCAGAGTGGCTCACTGGGAAACTATGAATTAGAAGGCTGGCCCTAGCCTGTTATTCAGTATTAAGGAAGGCACCGTGTGAGGTCCAAGTGTCTCTGCCTTGAGGATACAGATGGTCTTGGGTACTTTCATTCCAGTTTCCTGTTCTTCTTCCTTCTTAGGCCAATGGCTTACATTATTGTCCTCCCAAAGTGAGGGTCTATAGCAGTGATGGCAAACTTTTTAGGGCTTTAACTGATAACAAATAGCCTGCTGCAACACGTATGCCATAGGTTTGCTACTATGGTCTTTATAACACAATCCTGTAAGGTACCACTCTCTTTCTGTAAATTTAACAAGATTATCTCTACCTTCATGGAGGTACTCTACTACCCACATCTCTAAGATTGCCCCAGATGGCTAGATGAAGTGTCCCCAAAGAACTCTACATTCTTTTCCATGTTAGGTATGAGTCTCAACAGTGGACTGCATTTTAGGCTGTCTTTTGCTGCCAGGGACATTACTAGAGCTAACAGCAATTGGGTACAACTCAGCACAGAGTCTGTGAAGATTTTTGTTCCCGTTGCTGTAAAGATTAGTCAACCTTTATATCAGTCAACCTTTCAAGCTTGACAAGGAAGGTGGAAGTTAAAGACCATTGATTTTTCCCTTCAGACCCAAACAGCTTAAATAAATGGTCAGTAGCACTCCTCAGTGCCCCCAGGGGCCACCAATACTTCCTGAGACAGCTGTAAACAAATGATCTATTAGCATCTTCCAAAAGTGTCCTATTGATCTATGGGATTTTTATTCTAGAAAGGCAAAGTACCTTACTGAAGCAACCTGCTCACTTCACCATTTTGTCAGGGAGAGAGAGAGAGAGACAGATGCCTGTAACAAATACTGTGGCAAAAGTCTAATGGAAAAAGGGTCAGTTTTGCCATTGTCCTACTTTTCCCCATCGAGAACACCTAGGGAATGTCAGATATTTTATCACAGATTCGAAGGATCATCTCTCTGCTCTGAGGCTCATGCCATTGCGTGAACCTGCATGTTGGGGGATGTGCATAAAACTAAAGTGGAAAAGTACTAACTATTAAGTGACTTATGTGCAGTCTAACCCCTATTTTTTAACCCAAGACTGAGGATATGTTTCAAATTTTATATTCATCAGATAGCTTGCATTACTACTTGTTTTTGTTTTCTTTTAGTAGGTTCATTTCACTCAGTTTCCTTTCAGTTTTTTTTCCCACTTCTTATCCTCACTGATTTAATTTTATTTGAGGGTTATAGGGATCATCTACCTACTTATAAACGTGAATACAATTCAAAAGATATCCCTAGCAATGTCATTACTTCCATCGTCCTCTCCCTTGCATTCCCATTCTTTCTACCACTTTGCTTTTAGGTAATCACCCATATTATTTCCTTGCCTATCTTTCCTACATATTATTTTTGCAATAGATATATTTTTTTTATTTTAAAGAGAAAAGCAAACAAAATAAGCCAAGACAAAAACAAAACAACACAAAAACAACACAAATGGTACAGAATTTTAAAATAAAGTGATAGGAAGTTAACAATGGTTATGATACATATTGTTGTCTTCAACGAAGTTGCTCAGATTACCATATGTAAAAGAATAAAAAATTTTAAAAAGCGTTAGAAATGATAGTTTCATTACTCAAGAAAGTAGGGATTCAACAATGGTTGTTATATTGCATATTGTTGTATTCAAAATAGTTGTTCAGATTACCAGATACAGTCATGCAAAATTGGTCAAAAAAAGAAAAATTTAAGCATTAATTAACTGTTCCTTTCAGCAAACCAATAGACATAGCAGTACAGTTATCTCAGCTATCCTTGTATATCCAGATATATTTTTTCCCTTCTTTCTTTTTTCCTTTCCTTCATCCCAATTGTTCCTTTCCTTTGAGTAACTTTTTTTGCTTTTACATATCTGTTGTACCTTTTGGGTTTTATTTACTTTTTCCCTACATATTATTTTGAAAGGGTAGTATCTATTTCTCTTTCTTCTGATTATTATTTTTTCACTAAAAAGTTATTGTATTACATACGCTGTTTATAGATTTGTTTTATTTATCATTATCTCCAAGAAATAGTTCATTTTATTTTATTGAAATCATTTTGCTTATTTCATGTACATAAATGTAGTGGTTTGTGGTACATTATATACAATACTTCACACTAGGCCATAGTTTATAAGTTATATCTAGTTTATCTAATCAGTCACCTTACTTGAATATTCAAGTAGTTTTGAATATTTTGCCATTATAAATAATACTGTAGTGAATAAACCTGGGCTAGTTTACAAATATAGGTTAATCTCAAGGATAAGTAACCTAAATTATAAATAACCCATGAATCCTGGGAACGTATATATTTTATATATATGTATAGTTTTATATATATATTTGATCCCTCAGAATATTTATTAAATACTGAGACAGGCTCAACATCCCTCAGCATTTTCATATCATGTCAGATCTACATATGTAAACTTACTTATAACTTTATAAAAATGGAGAAAATGCTATTGTATATTACAACTGGTATCTAAATGTTTCACAGCAGATTTTTTCTATTTACTAGATCAAATGCTTCTTTTTATGTATCTCATTCTGTAGTACTGGATGAAAGTCTCACATTCGTGCACCAAGATTCAGTGTCAAAATCCCAAATGCAAGTAGAGAAAGAAATAACTCTGGGAGAGGAAAGACGAAATAGTAAGTTTAATAAATAACTTTATGTTCTTCTAAATTAAATTTTCTTTTATTTATGAAGTATATTTGAGCACATATTTTATGGGCATTTTAAACTTTGACCTGGTGTGTGAATTCACTAGGATAACTAGAAAACAAAAGCAAGAGTATTGATCCCTTTTGATTATTTGCATGACCAGTAACTGCTGAGTTGTCAACACTGCCTGTGTGCATATTCATAAGACTACAGTACTTATATGATTTTCTGATTTCATTCCCATCAGCAGAAGGTTTGCACTTCCAGAAGTTCCATTGTATATCTGTTTTTTCTATTAAACATTTTCTTTTGAAGCCCAAAAACAGGAGGAATCCTCTGAAAACGTATTGCCTGAGGAGAAAGTTTTATTATCTGTAAGCCAGTCTCAAACTGAGAAACTGGAAGCTATCAGCCATGAGACTCTCAACAGTAAGTTGTTAATTATGCATTGTACAATAAAATTATTTTAATTAAATTTAGGAGAACTTTGATTTTTGTAGGTGAATATTCCTTTCAAGTTATTTGAGTCACACTTCTGGATGTTTGTTGATAATTTATCTATTCCTTTCACAATTACTACTGACTTGTATTAATTAAATTTTATCACTTTCTGAACTTTTCTATTTCTTCCTGTAGTTGTGTTGTTTTGCTTTATATTTTCCAACCCCATTGATAAAACTCATATTTTAGTTTATTGGAAACATGACTCTTTCTTTGGTGGCATATTTTGTTAATGAAGGTCATTAGTAAATAAATGTTTAAGAGGGTTATTAGATACGTGGTTTATGGAGTGGATAGACTGTGAGGTAGATAGTATCATATATTGGTATCTGATCTAAGGCATATAGTACTTTCTGAGAATTAACACTTAGTCTCATAGGGTGTTGTCTATCAGGTGTCATAGTAATTGAGACTTCGTCCAGTCATTTCACAGCACTTGTTCCTTTTAGGTGATAGGACTTGTACTAATTCTAGTGAATTTTGTGATTAGCTCATTATGATATGAAACATCCTTTTCATTAAACCTGTCCCTGGTTGGAAATAATTTAAAGTATACTGTGGCCAGGGAAAAGATATTTTTCAAAGTCATGAACAGTAATTCTGGTAAAAGTTGTATAAATAGAAAAAGTCAGTACCTACAATAAATGCCTGCCCAGTTAAGGTCATGTCACTGTTCTCTCTGTGAAAGAAAGTTTACTGTAGTCCACTTGCAATGAGGTGATTTGCTGATTCCTCTGAAAGAAGACACTAATATTAGGAGGCTCGGTTTTTGGCTTATGATACTGACAAGTTGAGTATGCAGCAGTCATAGTTTGTAGAACATTCTTTATAAGAAAAACTGGACAGGATTACTAAGTGTTCAAAAGCCACTGTTGCCATGGCCTCATGGTACTTTGGTCCATGAAATAAACACCAGAGTAGCTAAGGCATGAATGTAGCTGATGTTCATAGGCAGGGATGTAGTTGAGAACTTACACTACAGTAAATACCTTCTTGTGTACATTTACATGAGTATGAATATCTCATATACTCTTGTCTTGTTCTAGGAAGTCACAGACAAAACTGCCCAAGATTTTTGACACCCCTTTTGAAAATTAATTTTATCTATTATCTCTGACTACCTAGCTAATTCTAATAGCTCCTGCTGAGAAAAACCAATGCACTGTAGATGTGTATGTAGTGGAGCCGTGAATGTACTGCTTAAAGTTCTGCCCATAAGAGGGATTTCTCCTTGCTGCTGTCTTTCAGAAATTCCCCTTACTATTACTGTAATAAGCTGCCAAATAAAAGATTAATATATAAAGTATAGTTGGAAAAAATAAGCAACCTAATATAAAAAATGGACCAAAGAGGAATAAATTGAAAAGAGCTCATCTCAATGTTATTATTGGGAGTGGGCAGTGATTTATAAATTGTCCTATATATTTCAAAATATATAGGACAATAAATGTGTGTGCAACTAAGATTCTGTTTTGTTTTGTTTTGTTTTGTTTTGTACTGGTAGTTGAACTCAAGACCTTGTGCTTGCCAGTCATGAGCTATATCCCCAGCCCTTACACCTAAGTTTCTGAAGTATTTCAATATCTAGATGTTTCTTTAAGAATAAGCACTTTTTAAACTACCTTGATCTCACTACCTTGCCCTTAACCTCACAGTATTTTTATGCAAATTTTTCCTGATTTTTTTAAGTCGCATGAGGGAGAGGGATGTCAGCTTGTTTAGTTCAGTGACATTCAGACATGCTAATTTTGATATTTCTAAGTGCTTACATGATGGGTTTTTAGCCATGCAATTTAATATTGAAAATTATCATCTTAATGAAATGAAAGAAGTATGCCATGCGTTTCAATATGATTTTAGAGTATATGTAAAACTCCCTTTATTGTTTTTCAAACATATTTTGTAGATCAAATGTGCCTCCAGTGACCAATGAAAGTCTTCTGCCAGTAGATTCAAAATCAACCCATCAACCTCAAATTGTTTTTTATTTTAAAAATAAAAGGAGGAAAACATTAACAGACAGACAACCTTTTACAAAATAGCAAAAGAACAGTACAGACAGTACAGAGTTACAAAGTGGTAGGGAATTAACAATGCTTGTTGTATTACATATTGATATCTTCAAAGTGGTTTCTCATGAAAACAGATAGAGACATGCAATATTGATCAGTCAAGGACTCATTGACAGTTTCTTTCAGCAAAGAAATTGAAGACAATAGAATAACTATATTAACTATCTTGTATATACATACAAAGTTTCTCTTTCTTTCCCTTCTCTTTCCCCACATCCCAGTTGCCCTTTACCCTTGAGTGTTTTCCTATCATTTCACAATGTCTATCATACCTCCTCGTTTAAATTAACTCTTTCAGGTTTTACACTAGTGAAACAATGCGGTGCTTGCACATGCATGTCCATCAACCTCAAATTAAGAAACAAAAAATTTCACAAAAGGAAACACTTGATATATGCAATATCATGAAATTATCTTAAATCATATAAATGTCCATATTCAAAGCAATAAATTTAGAATGTGGTCATAAGTGGATGTCAAAACAACAACATTTGATTTTTATATGTGCACTTTTGTAATAAAAGAATAATTTTTAAAATGGGGGCATGGTGGTACATGCTTAAATCTCAGCCCTCTGGGAAGCTAAGCCAGGAGAATAGCAAGTTCAAACCAAGCCTGTAAAAATTTGCAAGATTGTGTCTCAAAATGTAAAAGACTGATTATATAGATTAGTGCAAAGACTCTTGAGTTCAATCAATCGCCAGTATAGAAGAAGAAGGAGAAGGAAATGAAAGGGAAGAAAAGAAGTGGAAGGGAAAAGGAAAGGCATATTATGTTTATTATAGAACAAGTATTAAATATTGGAAGAAGAAACCCAAAGAAGGAAGTACTCTTTTTTATTTTAAAGAGAAAAGAAGAAAAACAAAGTAACAGAAACAGAGACACAAAAAAACCCACAAAAACAATAAAAGTGATACAGAATTCAAAAAAAAAAATGTTAGGAAATTAACAATGGTTGTTATATTGCATATTGTTATCTTCCAAGTAGTTGCTCAGATTACCAGATATAAACATGCAAGATTGACCGAACATAAATATTAACTGTTCCAGGGGCTGGGGATTTAGCTCAGCGGCAAAAGCGCCTGCCTGGCAAGCGCAAGGTCGTGAGTTCGGTTCCCGGTACTGCAGAAAAACCAAAAAAAATAAATAAATAAATAAAATAAATAAATAAATATTAACTGTTCCTTTCAATAAACTATTAGAAATTAGCAGTACAATTGTCTTAGCTATCTTGTATAAATATATATACATTTTTTTTTTCACTTTCTTCTTTTTTTTCTCCTTTCCCTCATACCAGTTGTTCTTTCCTTTTGAGCAGTTTCTTTCCCATTCACAATATCTATTGTGCCTTTCAGATTTTATTTACTCTTCAGGTTCTTACACTAGAGAGACAATACAATGTTTATACATGCGGGTCTGATTTACTTGAATTACGAGTACTGTCTCTAATTACATCCATTTACCTATAAAGTCTTCAGTTTATCTTTCTTTACAGCTGAATAATACTCCATTGTATAAAAATATCACATCTTTTTTATCCATTCCTCAGTTGATGGGCATTTGGGTTGTTTCCAAGATTTAGCTATTACAAATTGTGCTGCTATAAACATGGGTGCACATATATCACTGCGATATGATGTTTTTAATTCTTCTGGGAAAATACCCAGAAGGGGGATAGCTGGGTTGAATGAGACCTCTAATCTTAGTTTTTTGAGAATTCTTCACACTGACTTCCACAGTGATTGTACCAGTGCACACTTCCACCAACAGTAGAGAAGGGTTCTTTTTTCCCCACAGCTGCTCCAGCATTGTTATTGGTTGATTTCCTGATGATAGCCATTCTTTCTGGGGTAAGATGAAATCTCAGTGTTGTTTTAATTTGCATTTCTCAAATGATCAATGATGTTGAACATTTTTTCAGATATTTATTTACCATGTGTATTTCTGCATCTGAGAACTGTGTGTTCATCTCAGATGCCTATTTTTGGATAGAATCTCTGAATTTGGGGGCCTGATTTTTTTTTAATTTGTATATGTTCTAGATAGAAAGTCTTTGTCAGATGGACAGTTGGCAAAAATTTTTTTCCAGTTCCTGGGCTTTCTTTTCACTCTTTTTGTGATTTCTTTTGATGTGCAAAATCTTTTCAGTAAGATGAACTCCCAATTGTTCATTCTTTGCGGTATTTCCCAGGCAGTTTGGTTTTTGTTCATGAAATCTCTGCCTACCCCTATGTCTTCAAAATTTCTACCTCCTTTCTCTTGCAGTAGATTTAGTGTTTCTGTTTTAATATTTAGACCTTTTAACCATTTTGACTTATAGTGCATGGTGAAGGGCATGGGTCTAGTTTTATTATTTGGCATGTGGAGAGCCAGTTCTTCCAGCACCATTTATTAAAGAGGCTATCTTTCCTCCAGTGAACATGTTTGGCCCCTTTGTCAGAGATAAAGTGGCTCAATGTGTTTATGGTTGTGACTGCATCTTCTAATGTGTTCCATTGATCCTCAAGTCTGACTTTTTTTTCCAATGTCGTGCTGATTTTATCACATTAGCTTTGTATTATAATTTCAAGTTAGGGATTGTGATGCCTCCTGTCTTACCTTTGTTGCGCAGGACTACTTTTGCTATTCTGGGTCTCTGCTGGTTCCAGATGAATTTTAGGAATGTTTTCTCTAGATCTTTGAGGTATACTAATGGTAATTTGATTGGGATTGCATTGAATCTGTATTACAGTTTTGGGAGTATGGCCATTTTCACAATATTGGTTCTTTCTATCTATGAACAAGGAATGTCCTTCCATTTTCTGAAATCTTCAATCTCTTTTTTCAGAGTGCTGTGGTTTTCACTGTATAGATCTT